CAAGGAGCTTCCCAAAAGAGACATAGTGGACGACTCCGAGAGAAAAATGGGGCCCTACAAGACATAAGCTCAGGTGGTAAGAGTGGCACGGAGCCCTCTCCAAGCAGGCCAGAAGAAAAAAAAGAAGCAACTGAGCTCAGGTAATATTCCCAAGAGCTTGGCAAAACTTCGGAACTGACCACTCTTTGAGCACGGAGCCCTATCCAAGCAAGTCCAAAAGATGGTGCGTTTCTTTCTGGCAAGCTTCTGAACTCAGGACCCCTTCCTGTTGGGAACTAAGGACATGGATCCCAAGATCCCAACCGTGCCTTCTGAAACCGGGCGGTCTCATGCACAGAGCATACAGGATAACTGGGCTGTCCGTTTTCTGATCCCAGGCTGAACGTGCTTAACTTTTAGTGGGAATAAACAACCAGCCGCCAAACCAACTAAGAAAACCTAAAAACTCAGGAAACGGCTGGCGCACCACCAAGTCTAGCTATCACCAAACCGCCTTCCCAGAATGTCGTGATGGTCAAACCGGCGCGCGCAACCTGACTCTGACTTCTTGGAAGGACAAACAAATGATCAAAAACGATTGCAGCATCTGCATTGCACACACTTCCGCAACATGTACTTGTTGGACGCTTAAAACGAACTTGCGACTGGACTCCCAAAAGGGCGAACAGGAGGAGCCGGCTCGCGCGGGGATTTGGTGCATCTGGGGATTGGGATCGTTCCGGTGCCCTGGAGACCAAGGGGGCCCAATCCCAAGGTGCCGCGGTTCACAGGAAATCAACAGGGTCAATGGAGGCCTGGAGGTGAGTGCTTTTGAACATGATGCTGACCCCGGATTCATAAACCCCTGTTTATTAAGATGGGGGTGTCCCTGGTTTGTAGTGGGAATCATCACTGTTGGAGGGGAACACCCCCATATTAACAAACAGGGGTTTATGAATCCGGGGTCAACATTACCCGGCACAGCTCGGCTTTGGGGCCCATTCTGGCTGATAAGAGGTGCCCGGCTGGACAGCTCGACCGCGCGTTCCCCCTGGACTTGCGCACTGGCTGATCAAACGAGGGCTGACAGGTCACCATGGGCAGCGAGCGGCATCCATTTCCAGGTCCTGGAACACTGGCACGGAGCTATCCAAAAGCTGAACGCTGCAGTAGTGGGTGATGTAGACGCAGGGAATGCCTCCGACGCTGCAAGGACAACGACTCATCCGGAAGCTGAGAAATGAACCTTCAGCTCTTGGATTCCGTAAGGAATCGGCTGGGCTCCTGATGTCTCACAAGCCAATGAGCTATTTTTTAGCAACCAACGTGCTTGGATTCGTAGACGCCTTTCAAAGTAGCTCAATTAGCTTGTGAGACGCCTTTCAAAGAAAGTAGCTCAAGTAGCTCAATTATTCAAAGGGTTTCGCTCCAAGTCGCCTTTCAAAGTGGGTGAATTCCTTTCATTTCCCTTTGGCTTGATTGCCTCTTCCCTCTGAACGTGCCCCAGAAAAGCCGACCGCGCCACCCAGGAAATACAACCTCTTCGGAATTGCCAGATGTCCAGGCTATGTCCAGAGAAACAACCTTATTGTTCAGACGATTTCTCGTATTTCAAGGTGTAATCAGTGTAATCCCAGGTTGTAGTAGAAAAAGCCTTAGAACCTTAAATTGATGCAGCCCCTTGCCAGAAAAGTGAGGCAAAACAGTTCAGTTCAGGCCGAATCCAGCTTCAACCCAGCCAGTCGTAAGGAGGCCATCGGACTCGATCTTGGGCTTGCCTCTTGCAGAGTCCCGAGTCGCCGCGCGCGGATTGAATTCTTTTTCCGCTGAGCGGATTCATTCAGCTGAGCGTATTTATCAGACGAATCAGCTTGTCATGCAATGTCATGCAACATCATGCAATCACCCGGCAAAGGAGCAGCCTTTGAGTTCTTTCTGCAGCAAAACATTGAAACACATTGCTTGTGGTCAGTCACGAATGCGCAGCAAACAGCAATAAAACATACCAAAAAGCCCTGGCAGAGTCAAATCCAGGCCTGGATATGAGTTGGACTCCAAATTCTCAGCGAGGCAGCAGTACGCCTCATTCATGAAGCCTCAGTCCAACATGCCTTGTCTATCTGCAGCAGTTTAGCCAAAACTGTAGCGGCGCCTTACCCGCCGTATGCTGTGGTCGTGGCTTCAGTATGAATGCGAAAACTGACTGTCGTACACTGCCGTTGTAGCCATCTGAAGGATGTACGACCATCTAGTCAGCCGTTTGACCAAAGAAACAAGGTTCCATCGATCAGGTTTGAAGGTCCCCGACCTGGAAACTGTAACTTTGCTCGGTACGAGTATCAGGCCGTTTCTTTTCCTGGAGCTTTTCCTCTGGTGACCAAACCTCCGCGGTGTTTTTCTCTTGAACCTATTCACCGAGCCGCGGAAAACTCCCCATGTGCAAAGGAATCTCGGTTTGGGAAGCCGATTTTTGGGCTCCGTCTTGGAAAAATCGGGAGAGTTGCTCGACACGTCCCAAGTGGGCAAATCGGTCAGCGCGCGGAGTCTCCGCGTTTGTTCACAGCCCACACATGCTCCTGCTCCTTGCCAGACTGAGGGTTTGGCTTTAAATGTTCGACTTGCTTACTCGTTCGTTGATGCAGGCAGTAGCATGAAACACCGAGGGTTATAAGGGACCATGTTCAAGCAACATGCCAAGGGGGCTGGCCACAAACCAGAATACTATTTCGGTCAGTACTTTCAATGCTTACCATCAAGCAATAACAGACAACATCAAACTGCCATAAGCAGTTTCAAGCCTGACCTCAAGACGTTGCCAAGCGGTCAAGACAGCAGATTATATTAGACAGAGAACCCTCATTTTGACTACAACGGGGCCCAGTAGATTCCAGTTCCCGCTATAGCAGGTAACCAGCTATTTTAGTAGGGGAACCCTCCCCCACAAAAGGGTAATAAGGGCACTACTGGGGGAGCTCGTAGGCAAAAAGGAAAGTCAGCTGAAACGAAGAGGAGGCCAACGCCACCTTCGCTTCCATTCAAAACCCAATCGCCCAAGACAACAAAACACAAACTTTGCCCCGATGCGTTCGCCGTTCGCCTTTTGGACAAATAGATGGGTTTGGTAAATGGGCAATCATCCCCATCTAAACCAGAACCCATCCCAAACTAGCTCATCAAAGGAACACCCAGCAACGGCACCCCGATTCGGGATCTGGCCATGGGTCAAAATCCCCTACCCCCAGTGAACATCCCAATCCCCACTAAAATCCCGCCTAAAATGGGTGGTTAATTCACCAATCCCAACCAGAATGGGACTAGTCAACCACGGTTTTGACAAGCACAGCCATCTGAGATCTGTGAGATCTGTGAGGCGAGCAGCGGACATGGAAGGCCACCTCCGGGATCTGCTCTTTGTACTTCTCGAGCAGCTCCTCCATGAGACCTGCGGCCAGGCTGGCCACTGAGGCCCCCGCCGCGGGCTTTGCTTCGGTTAGGGGGGACGGGATACGCCCCGCAGCCCTTCGATGCGAAGCCGGAAAGCCAAAAAAACAAACGCCCCGGGCGCTGGTGAACACAGGCCAAGACGGCCTGAAGGGGGGGAAAACAACAACTTGAAGATGACCCCAATAGCTGCTTTGGCTTGAGTTGGTTCGTTCGTGAGGGCAGCCCAGGCATTCCAAGAGGAATCCTAGAGGAGTCCTTTCCATTTGTCCAATACGGTAGCTGAAACGACATCTGAACATTTCCATTTGCTTAAGCCCCATGGAAAAAATAGACATATGTCCAGTAGTGACAAATTCCCTTGAAAACCAACAAGGGAGATAATAATAATAATATTCTTAAGCAAATGGAAGAAAATACACATTTCAGCGCGGCGTGTGCTCCAAGATCCTTCCTGATCCTTCCGGCGATACCGAGCCCGAGACGAGCCCGAGATGGCACAAACTGGGTTCCCAGACCAAGGGTCAAACCATAAGCTGCTCAAAGGTACTGTGGATGGACAAAATCCGATCGCACCACCTAAGAAACCATGACAAACCATTGTTTGTTGGTATTTACAGGGGAATCATCATTCCAGGGTTTCTTGAGGTGGTGCAGGATTTCGTCCATCCACAGTATGGATACCGAGCTCCTGTTGAGGCCGCCCTCATTGACAGACTTCCCTGAAAGACACATTGGACTGAGACAACCTCCAGGACAATGGTGCTTATTCGGGTTGCCTTGCGTTTCACATCAAGCCGGAGAGTTTCTTTTCACGAGCCGTTCCTGCCCGAAGGGCAAGAGACCTCGCGAGACAAACAAAGCCACTAGGAACCACGCCACAAAAATATTCGCCTCGGTAGACGGTTTGCTCCACGTCGCCATCCTCCGGCTTCTTCTTCTCCGCCAGCAGCATGTTCCTCTCAGCTCGCTTCTTGATTTTTTTCGGGGGGTGGGCGCCCTGAGCTGCATCTCAGTCGTGTGCCTCCCTGTTCTCCAGCGCCAAGCTAAGCTGTTGCAACAGAAGCATTGAAGGGAGAGCGTGGAAGTGATGTAGCTCAGCTGTCTCAACAATACAAGCATTTTTCACTGGCTCCATTTTCTAAGGTTTACACCAAGCTTGCGTCAAAGCAGGCACAATGTGGCCTCTTTGGGTTGGTCCGCAAAGGCATTTTGGGATGTACCCGTGTATGTCCGCTGACAAATCAAAAGCACCCCACTCTTGGGCTTGCAAACTACTGCAGGCGTGGCTGATTTTGGTAGCCGCGCCATCTTTGCATGTTGATTAACGCAAACAAGGCTTGCGGCTCTGAACACAAGTTGGAGGAAGGCTTGAATCCGTTGAATGAAACACAACGGTTCACCGACCCGAAATACGAAGGTCAAGTCATAAGTCAAAAAAACAAATGCATCACTGGTGACATCCCCCCGTGATGAGGTTGCGCCCATTTGCCCCTGAAGAAAGCCCACATCAGTCCTCGACCGTGTGCGCCCGTCCGCGAGGACTTGTTCGTGCTCCACTAGCACCTGCGAAGCAGTACCCTCCCTCCCGACCCTCTCCCTCCCAAACAACTCACGCGTCGCGACTTGACAACGTCTCGCAAGCAGCGCCTAGGCAACATTTGCTACTCGGGGAGCACCCCTCTTGGGCTGTGGATTCCACCCGTAAAAACCTGAAAACGGAGCCCTGAAAACGGATAGTTTCACAGGGCTTTCATTTCATAGTTCCTGGATTTGACAACAACCACCCAGAGCCCCCTGTTATGGGTGGGAGGGTACCGCCGAGACTTGTTCTGCCGAAAACCAGCGGTTGAAACCTGGGCATGACTGTGTATGCATGACGCATGTAGCGCAAATTGGAACGCGAGCAGTTCGCCTGCCTCGTCCAAACAAGAGAAACCATCCAAGGACAAAGTAAGCTGGAGCATTGGCAACAGTGGCCTGACAACCAGCCCTTTGAAAGGTTGGATTTAAGATCACTTTGTCAAGCCTGTAAAGGCCGTACTCGATTGGAGCCTTCCAATTAAAATAGGGTGAAAAATGAAAGCGGCCAGTGATCCTGGCGGCCTGACAATCATTGATCTGGTGTCTACCTCAGCCTGAGGATGGCAGTGCCAATCTGAGGAATCCAGTTGACATCGATCAATGGCATATCACAAGTCAAATCATCTCATGTACTTTCACGAGGGTTGATCAAGTTCCGAAGTGGAGACAAAGCAGGCTCCAAGGGAACTATTGAAAACAAGGAACTTTCCAGCAACCGTCGTCCCGTCACATCAAGGGTTTCCCATTCTAGCACAACCACATATTCTCATGCAACTTCTCCTTCACCTTCCTTCGTACATGCAGCGCCTTGTCGTTCCACCTGAACTGCACAAAGACGGGCTCCACAATTCTTCGAACTTCTGATGTGGCCTCATTCCATTCCTGGGGGCTGCGAGGTGGGTGATTCCATTGGCCATGAGTCGATATCTGGCATGAAATGCTCACTTGACGTTCTGAGAGACGTTTAGCAAGTAGCGAGCTACCCAAAGCACGTCCCTGTCTTGCCAGAGGGGTCCGAGGGGTCAGGCTGTACCTACACAAGCGAGCAGACGTTCTGCTCGAAACCTGGAAAGGATATTTGTAAGAAGATCTGGGGCTGAGGTCGTCGACCCCAAAAATAGGGCGGGGGTTCTCATGAATCCGGGGTCAACACTACCATCCCCAGGACCTCCCAATGGCTGTTTTGGGGTTATTTGCCAGCCATTGGGCGGTCCTGCCCCTTATGTTTTGCTTGGAAACTTCCATTCTGTTTCTCGGTGCCTACGAGCACCGCCTGGCTGGTAGCAAGTTGGTGAGTGGCTGAAAATATGTGGTCTTCCGGGTAGCGCAGTGGTCCGTGCAACATACAGCCAGGGGAAACCAAACACATGATGTACTTGTGCTTGGGTCTGCATAGTATGCAAAGGGCAGCCAAGGAAAGCCAACACAGTTTTCTACTACTCAGTTGTTCAGTGACCCTGGAAAAAATGCCTTTTTGGGGAAGACCATTTTTAGTGGGGCAGCCACCCAAAAAAGGGGAAAAATAATTGGTGCCACTGAACAACTGAGACTATTTGAGCTTTGGGGAGAAACCCTCACTTGGAAGCGCCAAAGGCATACCTCGTCAGCATTGTTTTTTGTTTCTCTCCCGCTCTCTGTGTCTTCGGCGCTCTCTTCCGCCTTACAAGAACTTCTAATCAGAAGCTCTAAGGCTGCAAGTGAAGGCTCCAAAATGCGGGAGCTCAAGGCACAAATGGCTGCTTCCCAAAATAGCATTGGGACATCCAACGTCGGTTTCGGTCTGGCTTTCCTTGGAGCGCCAGCTAAGCAGGGGGTCCCAAATTGTTCCCCCCCCCCGCAAAAAAAAAGAAAACACGATCCGCACAGGCTTGGTTTAGGGTGAAGGGCCAAGGGTTGTGGGGCTTAGAGGGTTTAGGGTTCATCTGTTTAGCATTTAGGATGCATGACGTAAGTGTGGAATTAATATATTTATTAGCTGGTGTTGGGGTGCAGGATCCATGCCAGAGGAAATCTTCGGGTAAAGTGTGGTTTGTTCGTTGTTCAAGCACGCACCATTCACCCAAAGCCGGAAAACCACAAACCGGCTTTGAAGACCTACGATGCAGCGCGAGATGCTCCCCTTGGTTTTCGCTTGAGTCGGGGTTGGGGTGGAGGAAACTAGGGGTTTCCATCCATCGGGCATTTGAGCACAGGCTGGCCAAAATTGCAGCTCTGGAAGAAAAAACAAAACATACATCCTCTGTTGGTTTCCTTTTGGGAACAAGTAAATGGTTGTGTACTAGACCTAGCTCCCCTACATTTCCTTTCAACTCGCTGGACAAATGAATGAAGGAAAACCACAAGGGCAAAAAGTTCACTCGCGTGAGTGCGGTCCGGCAATGTTGGCATGTGTGTTTGCTGATTGATCCAGGCTGCAAGGACGGTCTCGCCGCCTAGCACTTCCTGCAAGGCCGAAATCCTAATCACAACGCGGGTGTATGATTAAGGGGTTGGGATCCAGGAGAAACCAAAGGATAACAATTGTTGAGCTCCCCTCCCATTTTGACACACACACAAGCCCATGCGCCAACTTGCCGGGCTCTTTTCTGAGTTGATCCTGTCGGTTTGTTGCGCACCTGCCGAAATGGTGTTGCAGCTTTGGGCTGAAACTACGGAGGTACATGGCCAGAGTGCGAATGCTTGCATAGGTTTTCTTTTGAGACAACTAGATGGGTTTCCCTGGTAGATGATGAAACCACCAGGTAAACCAGGGCCATGTATCTTTGCACCAAAACAACCAAAAAGGACACCTATGGTTGCGACTCCTGGACCATCGATTTGATACGCGTGCCGATTTGTTCAACCATTGCAGTCCCGCCTGCCACACTGCGTGAATGGCACACTTTGCATGAGTGATTCGTGGGCTCGTGTTTCATGAGGTGTTGCTGATTGAGACGGTCCTGGCCTGATTGACACGCATGAGACACGGTCAAAATCAATCGTTCCCCCCATAGCATGGGATGTCGTTGAATAATTCCTGTTGACTTCTGGCGATATGATCAGTGCATCTCATGTACATCGACCATCAGCAATTCATTCGCACCGACATGCACAGCCCCCTTGCTCACACAAGCAACAAACAGTATGTGTTGTTCTCCAGAAGGACGTGGGACGAAGGGCATGACAACATCGAGTAGAGAACACCTCACAGTCATTTCAGTCCTCAGTCACAACATGTCAACTGCAAACAGCTGCGGACCCATCCTACTGTGTGGCTACCTCAGGAACGCGCTTGCGCCCAACCCATGGTGCAGACGTACAATGCGGGGTAAGCCGCCCGTCCTTCCGCAAGGACTCGATGCTCTTGGCCTTGCCCTTTCCATACAAATCAGGGTCAATTCCAGCGAGTTTCCTCGGGTCCGCGTGCGAAACTCGGTGAGTATGTATTGCTCAATGTTCATAAAACTTATGTGATTGGGCGTTGCAGATGTCCATGGGTCAAGACAAACAACTGCTCTGGCTGCAGATCAAAAACTTAGTGGAATCTTAGTGGAAAGTTGTTTTTTCTCTCTTGCTCGTTACCCTCTTGGGTGACTTCGATCACCAAATCCTTTTTGGATTCACGTAGCGTTTCAAGAACACTCGCGCAGGCGACAAGTAGGGAATTTGAATATAGAAACGCATAGAGTTGATTACCAGGAAAAACACGCAACACATGGATTACAAGGCACCTGGCAAAATGCAACCCATTATGTGGAAGGGCCCACAAATCCCATGCTTTCCTTTGAGGCCATGGGAGATTAGTCCAAAGACCAGCAGGACGGCTTTGATTGTAAGAAACACCCAGTGCCGTGATACTCCCGCAAAATCACGCTGGGAAACCAAAATTCTATCATGGCTGTCACCCTAGGAAAGACTTGACAATCTTTAAGTAAATAGATGTGTTGCTTCACATTTTAAAGCAATACCCGCAAAACGCTTGGAACGGTTCGACGAACACATTGTTGCTCGGGCTATGCTGACGGAACTGCCACTATACTCCAATTTTGAGGCAAAGCCCTTCTGCCGGACTCACTTCCTGAGTTGATTGGCCAAAGAAAGTCCGAACTTTTTTACCGGAAAAACAGGGATCCGTACATGAAAAACACCTGAACATTGCAACTTGTCAATGGTGGTTCCCAACTTGATCTTTATTTCGGTGGAATGAAAAAGCAAAAGCAACAATTCTTTCAAACGGTTGCAACATGGAGATCGTTTTTCAGGAGCCCAAAACGATCCGAATTCAAATACCTCAATGACTCAAGTCCGAAGCGGAGCTCAGGGAGTGAGGCCGTCTTGCGCCCTCTTGCCCCCCCCCCCCTCCCCCCCAATTTTGAGACGAAGCCCTTGAAGCCAGCCGAAAAGGGTTTTTTTCTCTCCTTTTTTCTCTCCCACAAAGGAAGGAGTGAGAAAGGGCACTACATGATTAGAGCTAGGCCCAGTCATAGAATGTATATTTCATTGCTTGCTTCACAAGGAGTCACTGGTAAAATGCAAAATGTATCCTAAGTCTACCCCAGACTACTGGGGGACCTAGTTAAAAACCCCCATCACCCAAACCGACCAAAAGACCAACCGCCCGACTCGGAGGCCGCCCGAGGCGCAGGTACTTGGCCAAGGCGTTGGCATCCGGCAGCAAGGCGGGGGTCAGCGCCTCTCCGGGTGACTTCGACTTGGAGCCCGAGGAAAAGGGCGAGGGGGACCAAGGGTCTAGGGGTAGAGGGTCTTGAGGGCTACCTTCATCGTTTTTTCATCTTACTGGACCTCTCTTATTTAGACTGTTTCTAAGGGGTACCTTCCTGGTTTTGATCTTACTGGGGCTCTTATTTTTTGACGGTTTCTAGAAACTGGGGTGGTTTCCCTTCAACCCACCACTTAGGGGGGTGAGATTGATATTGGTAAAATCATGGGGCCAGTCTCATTTGGTCGTGTTTGGGGTATCGTCCGTTTCCACTCAATCCAGGGATCCTTCTTTCTAAACCTCGAGAAAAGCAGGGAAGACAGATCCGCTTATCAAAAAAACAATGATGGTTGAACAGAATGGGGAATCAACCCTATGGGGGATTCCCTCAAGTGGTCTGAACCACGAAACCGGGCTTCGAACCCGTAGAAAGCATGGAATATTCTTTTGTGACAGGGGGGACATTTGTTCGGGGAGGAAAAGGCGACACCAAGCTCTCAGACTTCTCTCTCAGTTCGGCTTCCAAAGTCACGCCTCTCTCAAAATCCACCAGTTTCTGCTTGGATGTTCCCCCGTGCAAAGGGAACCTGTCCATGTGGTTGGATCAATATTGCGTTCGGCGCCGAAATGACCATGGGGTAGTTTCTCCCATTCGGTGAAAGTCGTCCTGTTCTGATGGTTTCCAACCAATGGTCATTTCATGTATCACGGACCTTTTGATCAAGCCCGCTGTCTCAAACTCAACCAGTGCTTGAGGGGTGAAAAAACCATGTGAGTTGGTACCCCAAAGGCCTGGGTTGTTGTTTCCCCTTGCTGAGAGGGGAAGGCACAGATTGGAGAATTGCTGAACAGCCTCCGGGTGGGAATGACGTTTCGTCCGGGTGGGAATGAACCGGTTGTGTGGATTCCCGAGCGGAAACCACCAGTTGGATGGAACGCATTCCGCTTCTTCCCTGAGCACCAGCCAGGTGTAAGCTCGGTCAGCTTTGGTCAAAAGCGACTTCCCGAAGGCTTCTTTTCGTAGGGCGAAAAGGTCCCCTCACTTGCCCAAGGACCCAGGACTAAAAGCTTCACCTTTTTGGGTTACGAAAAATGGATCAAGAAAGGAAAACCACAAGCTCACAAGGTCGGCAACAACTGAGCCCCATCCGGCCGACTTGCCCCCTTCGATGGAGCTGTTGGACTGAGCCTCGGCGAGTCCATGGGAGAGTAGCAGCTTACACAGGGATCACGAAACTAAGAAGTGATTCATTGATCCTACAATTCTATCCATTTTTTCAGAGATCCTTTGTGTGAGCCTACTATTTGATCCATTTTTTCAGAGGATCCTTTGAGCCTACCATTCTATCAATTTTTCGGTTTGAACGGGAGTGTGAATCATAGAAACCAGCTACACAAAAATCTACAGGAAGCTAGCCAAACACCCACCAAAATCAGGGATTTCGTAGTTGGTTTCTTAGATTGGAGGGAAACCAACCAACTTAATGGGTCCCCGAATTTTCAGACCCGCTTGTTTGTTTCAGGAGGCTTCCTTAAAACAAACGCTCACCTGGCGATGCACCTTTGTTCAACGGGAAGGGGTTGACAGTTTGAGGGGAGAGGGGGCATAAAAACAACGAAACACCCTTGTTTTGAGGCGGAACTTCAGCGACTCCTTGTCTCAGATGCCCGGTGGCCATGGGAAAAACAAAGGGCATCCCTTTTTTGTTGGTTGAGTTTAAAAGGAAACCCTTACCAAAAAGAAGTTCAAAAAAGGGCACCACTGGGAAACAGAGTTGTGAAAGAGCTCACAACCTTGCACTTCTGTCGGAAGTCCTTGCGAGTTTAGGCACCCCAGCTCGAACCAAAACCCGCTGTTTCAATCTGACCAAATGTGATTCCTCGCAAAAGGCCACCATAGACCCGAAGGCCCGAAGAATGGCTCCCTTTGTCTGCCCCTCAACCTCCATTCCCTTTGGAAGCCAAGCATCTACCAACCAAACTCGACTACCAATCTGAAAGCACCAAAAAGCAGATGGCAAACACCCCAATCCACCCAATCTGGGTGCGCCTACTTTTTGTTCATTCCTTGAGAGACAGACAAATCGATCCACCATTTCTTGGGGGTCCGAAAACGTTCTAGGTCCTCCAGTAGAGAGGTTAGAATAAGGGAAGCCTTTTTCCTGTAGTCTATTTTAGTAGGGGAACCTTCCCCCAAAAAAGAGTTAAAGGCACTACTAGGGGACCTAGTTTTGAAGACACACCCAGACTGAGCCCAACCCATTCCAGCGCCCGTTCCAGCGCCAAAGCTTGCGCCAAAGCTTGCGCCAACGCTTGCGCGCGAGCGGCGGAGTTCAGCGATGGGCGCGGGCCGCTGTGCTTTGGCGCCAGCGACTTGGGCGGGAACTTCACCACCTGCGGTGGGCATCGAAACCGCTCGGCGTTCACATGGGTGTGGCTCAAAACAGCCAGGGTTACACAGGTTTTAGTCTTTGGCTCCATTTACCAAGGAGCCATTTTGGTACAGTTGTTTGACCCACAACCACCTCAGCAAATGGAAGCTTGCCAGAAATGGATGCGGATCTGCGCCGAAACCAATTCTTGAAACATGGTTCTGCATTTTAATACCGATCTGTTTGGATTCCGACTCACCTCGGTAAAGCCTTTGCTCGCCTATGAAGGCCCTTCTCTCGGCTATTTACATGGGTTCTGGGCTTGGACCATTTTAATCGAGCGGGTGCATCAGTGCCTCATGTTAATCGACAGTGCAGCAGTCACTGTGCGTTATCGGAAAGGCAAAGGTCTTGTACCATAAGGCCCCATGGAAAAATATATGTCCAGTAGTGATAAATGCCCTTTAAAACCAACGAGGGAAAATAAACAAATATTCATTTCAGCAAATGGAAGCAAGGGGATTGCCATTTCCTTACTCCCCTCCAAGTTTCCGGGTTGGGACTCACCAGCAGTTTTTTTGCGATGCGCGAAGCCACCGTATGAAAAATCGGCAACAAGACAGCAGCACGCAACATTGCATTGGTCAGTTTCTTGATATGCGAGAGTGGGCGCAGTGTCCTCCAAAGTGGAGTGTTCAAGTGCCAACTAGTGTGTAGTATGGGGCTGCCAAAATGGGTGAGAAAATTCGTGTAAAGGGGGGGGGGTCTTGAGTGCTAGACGCAGTCTCTTAAAGGTATGGGCTGGGCCGAAAACTGCCTGGTGTTCAAGCAGTGAGGGGTCTCGAAGGATGTGGCCTAGATATTTATTCCGGGAATGTAAAATGGATTGGGTCGGGGGAAGCAGTGCGGGAAGGTGGGTGTGCTTGGGAGGAAAGGAATTCGTGGGGATGGAGAGAGTACTTCGTGGACTTGATTCCGAGGATTTGTCGAAGGGTGCGGAAATGGAGTATTATATTGCCTGAGTTGCGATTCTGTGAAAATCTGGGATTCCGCTGAGTAAGTGAGTGTGGATTGGACGATTTGTGCGTAAACCTTTAGCTTTCTTTTTGGTGGAAAAATGCTTGTGGCGGAGGAAAGGGGTAGGGCCTTAGCGGCTCCAGTAGCCTGAGAAAGTCGATGGCGGGCGTCAGAAAGAGAGGAACGAGGTATCTAGTGGCGGTGGTAGGGAATATCGGTTCAGAACTGTACCACCACAGAAAGTGCAAGTACAGGTGTAGGTGACAACAGAAGAGAAATAAACCGGCTGGTTGGAATTCACGGTGACTAATTGAGATTTCTGGGAGCGCAATGTATTGAAGGGAGTGAAGGTATCGGTGAAGGGTTTGGGTGGAACCAGCAAGAAGTGCGGTAAGAAGCGCGGTGTCGTCAGATTATTCTAGATCATGGAGTGGGTTGTCTGGTGCGAGAGCCCACGTGTATTGGGCAAAAGTGTCAAAGAAATGGGTGTAAACATCTTTCATGAGAGAAAAGATAAACAAAAATATGGAGAGAGGGGGCAACCTTGCCTGACCGGTCTGGTTTGAGGCAGAGTGTTAGACTGAATGTTAGCCTCTTGAACAAAGAAAGTGGTGTCCTCATTGAGGGAGATAACGACTTGAACCAGGGGCTCAGGGACCCCCATTCGGATAAGAGATGAGCAAAAAGGTCAAAAGCTTGAGACCAATCGAGGAAAAGAAGGTAGAAGGGGGATGTGTGTCTTTCGTGGAGTTTGATAAGGCATCTGACTAGAAAGATGGGGGTCGAGGTTTGGCGCGCTTGTCTGAAGCCAAACGGCTGATTAGGAAGGAGATGGTCGACTGCGGAGGAAATTCGCAAGTGTACCATAGATGCGTAAATATTATAAATGGTATTTGCGAGACAAATGGGACGACACGATGAAGGAGACTTGGAGTCTTTGGACCCACCTTTAAAAATCATAACTATACGGGCAACTCGCCAGTTCTGCGCGAAGGAAGGCTTGAGTAAAATGAGAAAGGAGCAATGTTTTAAAAATTGGGGGCGTGTTTATACCACTCGGACGGTATTCCGTCCGGACCGGGGCTCGTCTCCCAGGGCTGGAAAGGTCCCAAATCCGCATTCTGGGGAGGAAAAAGGGGGGCGGTAATTGAAGCGGGGAAGCTGGTTTTCCATACTGTGTTGGAGAGGTGGCTTTTCTGTAACGATGTGGTGATCTGTCCCTCGGTATTGCGGACAGCTTTAGTCGACGGTCTGTGTTGTCGTCGAAGCATCTCTTTACGGTCTTCCATTGCTTCGCAGGAGGAGAAGTAGCGTCTTCTTGGAGCTGTGAGTGAATCCACTGTTTTTATCTTTAACAATGCGGTGGTTGAGGGCTCTTCGGAGTTGTGACGCTGATCCGGGGTGAGATTTTCCGACTGCATGCGGTGGATCATACGAATGGAGGGATCAGTGAGGTATGGTTTACGGATATGAGCTGGGGCCTGGGGAAGGGGCAGCTGCGGCTTGTGTAGTGCGCAGAACAGGGGGAGTCTTACTTGGTTCAGCTCAGGGTCTGGACACACCACCAGCACGTGACCCACGCAGGGTTCACCTCGTAGTTGATGAACGGGTGACAGTCAGTAAAGTTCCACAAGGAGCCTACCATACTGCAAGTGAGCTCTTGCTCGGGATACTTGTATCTCTCGCCCCCTGGCATGGTTGCACTGACGTGGGCCGCAGGCCACCAAACTTGAAGCAGTCGTAATTCCTTAGACGTTGGTCGGCGAACTCTTGGCAAGGAAAATGTCACACCCTTTACAACCAAACATGTCCGGCGAAAGCCTAGGCGCGTACGGTCGATGCGCCGGGCAAAAGTGAATTGGCAGTGGACATGAACCCGCGGCTGATGACTGGAGATGCTCTGCTCAATCGTCAAGGACGTGTGCGCCACACAGTTGGGGGCAAATCTTGATGCACTCTTCTCTGGCCCAAGTGAGAAAGTCGCTGAACTAGCTCTTGCCCCCGTCCTGCAAACCAACCTCCACTCCGTCGCCTTGACGCCGGTCACGGTTGAAGGTTAGCTGGATGTCAGCAGCATGAGCACATGGCCGCGTGGCAGCGCCACCTTCTTCCCCGCCACCTGCGCCCTCACCACCTTGATTTGCCGCCTCTCCACCCTGATCTCTGCCACGCCGGGTAAAGGTGGCACAAGACGTGCGATTGGGCTGGTCCAGAGACCAATGGCACCCCTCAGCTCCTCCAGCTCCTCGGCTGTCTGCAGACGCGGCACCAAGTTCTCCAGAAAAGTCTCCACGGTTTCCTTGCCGGAGTCTTGCCTCAACCTTTTTGGCGTGTTGAGGTTTTCGGTCAAGCGACAAATGGTTCGGATCGCTGGCGGCGAAGCTGGCGGTCTGCCGCCTCAGACGGCATGCTGAAACGGCTAGGGTTGTAAAGTGGGTGAGAGCCGGGGGAGCCGTAGGAGGGAGAACGGGAGGGCGAGAGCATGGCGCCCGAGGGGCGTGAGTGTGAGGACGCCCTTTGCTGCGTTGGTATCGGCTCTATCATTGCCATAATGCGACCAGTGTCCTTTGATTTTGTGGAAAGAGATTCGGTGGGTGGAATAAAGTTGGGGAAGAAGGGAACGGGTATGTGACGTGTGGAAGGAATGGCGAGATCGGTGATCGAATGGAGAACGAAGGTGGAATTTCGTGTGGAAGTGTATGTCGTGAGGGTGCAGGAAAGTGCGGAGAACGAAGTCGATGGCTTCAAGCATAGCTTGCAGTTCGGCAGAGTTGTTGGTGTGTATGCTTTTCCCCTGACGCACCGCGGGATTCGTGACCACTTGCCTGAGTTAACTTCGGAAGGGAAGCGCACTCCCTGGAATAGCGCTTTATGAAAAGGCCGTGGTCTCCCGACAAGCCTTGGGCGTCTCCCGCAGCCAGCAGTTGTCCCGCCAAATTTGAGGAGGCAGCTCCCTCGAAAGATTGGTACATTCTTTGACCCCGTCTATAAAACAAAAGTGAGAGATGATGTTTGCAAAGCTTGCAATGGTGGACCATCATACCATTTGGAAGGGTCCATGGAACTGACCGAAATCTTTGGGGGAGAGTGATAATGCCAAGTTCCGTTAAAACAACCACAGGGAAAGGTGGGCTAAGTTGGGTGGTTCCCAAAAAGAATGTGCATCTGTTTATGTCTGTCCTTCTTGTTGAGGGAGTGGGTGTATCCTGGTTGATTCTGGACAGGAGAGCCCCTTGTGTGAGAGACCTGGTGGGCTTGATCAAATTGGCAGAAATTGTAACTACTGGCAAAAAGAAACTTCGAGCATGCAATGCGGAATGCGCTGTCTTTTGGTGCGCCAGGCAATGCTGCTCCGAACAATGCTACAGCATCGTGCAAGGCTAGTCAGAGGTCAATTGCAACTGACTGTAGCCACTTAAAATTGGAACCGCGATGTTGGTGCATGAAGGTGGCCCAGAGAATAGTCCAAAGGAGCTCGTGATTGCAAGTTTCAGCAATAGCCAGTAGGAAGGACTCCATGATGTTGCCTTTGTTGTTGTGGCTGCGCTGGTTCATCCAGGCATGATTAGCAGTTTGAGGAAACTTCACCACAATTCTGGTGCGCAGTAGGTGCAAGGAGTAGTTGATCAGAAAGATTGGTGGCAAAGGAGGCCAACTCCTGAACATGTTTGCGAAGTGTAGGGATTTTCCCCTGTGAGCAGGTGGTGCCAGAGTGTCAAAAAGGTCAACTGTATTGGGGTCCTGAAATTGTCTCACAAGAAAAGTAAAGTTGTCAATGGTCCATCCTTTGTTGGGAGCATGTGCTCCAATTTCTGCTTCTGTAGCAATCATGGCTGCAAATAATGATCCTGCAATGAGATTAGGCAAGCAAGGTTAGCAGATCTTGCTGGGGCTGTCATCGAAAATGAGGTAGGCAAAACCAATGCAGTAAGAGGGTCATCCCAAACATTCTGCATGAGTTGGGAAAGGACTGGGGCGACGCAGAAAATGGTATATGATGTAGGTATCTTCTGAAATGTAGTTGATATGAAAGGTCATAGGGAGCTGGGTGGGCTTGGGCAGTGGTAAGAGTGGGGCTTGGGCATGTTGCTGTGAAGTTGGGTGGAGTTGGATGCTTGATGCAATCGTTGCAGTTGAGGTTGTAGCCCAATGCTGAGAGGCGAAGCTGGCAAAGGACAACTGCTGTTTAGGATCCCTTTTAGGTTTTTTGGGGCTGGGTGTGCTCTGGTTGTAGTGGGGCTGGGAAGTGTAGCGGGTGGCCTGCTGTGTGTGATGCTGTGAGTTGCTCTGTTGCTTGAAGGTGGAGGACCAGTCATTTCATGAGTTGCTTTTCCATCCTGAGTTCCAGGACTGTCTGGGTCTCTTTTGTGGTCTCTGCCATAGTAGGTGATCTGGGGATCTGTCTGCCCCGTTGGAGGTCTTGGTGTTGCCTTTGCCTTTGGGCTGAGTGCGCCTGCCTTTGTCATTGGAATTGCTTTTGACCGCCTTTGCCGAACTGATCAGGGTGATCCCTTGTTCCTGTAGTGCTTGTTGTACTTGGGAGTGTAGTCCAAGTGAGGCTTTGATGAGCAGTGATGGGCGTGCTTCAAGTAGATCTGCAAGAGATGGGGCAATGGGAAGCGTTGTCTGTCGGAAATGTCTCAGACCTGGTCACAGAAGCGGGCAGCTCTGGTGTTCCTGCCATAAATTAGAGGTCATCCTGGCTGCAAAAGCTGTGTGCCACTGAAGGAGAACATCTTCATAGTGCTTGATGAGAAGTACACATGTGTATCTTCTTGGAAATCTTGCATCCAATACATAGATAGGTAGGCGACCTGCGCGAGCAGCTGCTGGTTGGGGTCTGCTTTGTTGGGCCATATCTGTAGTGTTGATCTGCTGGATTGCAAGGCTTGCTGCTCTGCTGGAGCTGCTTGAGAGAAAATGCCCATGAGGGCAAAACATGCTTGTGGTGAAATGCGATCATCTGAAGAGATGTCATGTTCCCTTTGGAGGATCCAGGTGTTGGGGAGGTACTATGTGAACTTCCTCCTCTTGAAGGCCTTGAAGAGCTCCTGGCAATAGTGTTCAGTGGACAGTTCCAACCTGTCCCCTTAACAGGGCAGTGCGAGCTCTGGACGCTTCCCGAGACTTCCCATCTTGAGAGCTGGGGTAAAGCAAATTCCAGCTGTGTGGATTGGTAAAAGCTATCACAGATCTTGAAAAAGTTGTCCATGGAGGGCAAGAAGGAGGTAGAGTGGTACTCCATCATAGAGCCTTAATGCGATGTTCTGCTGTGATATCAAGTGCTGATGTGGTTGTAGCATCAAAAGGTCTCTTCTTGCAAAAGGTCGATGTCCAGGAAGCTGCCAGCGTCTGAATCGTATCTGGTGGTCCTGGAAGAAGATGAAGAAGAGCAGTGTATTTGGGTGAAGTTGTCCCTGGCTTCCTGAGAAATAGTCAGCTGATGTCTCAAAGAGGGGTCGAGCTCCATCCATTCTATCTCCATATCAGAAAGAGCCGCCAAGAACTCCTGCATAGACTCATCCTTGGGCTTAGTTCTCAATTTCTTGGATTCAGGGGGGGGTATGCTCGATGAAGAGTCGCTCTGCTGCTGTATGAACTTCTGCCATAACTCTTGTTGTTCCGGGGTCATCTGTACCGTAACTGATTCCTCTGGCGAGGGCTCAGTCTTCGCGACAGGTTCCATGGCTCTGCAAAGCAAAGCGAGGAACAAAAACGGGGCTGGCTTGTGCCAAATGCCTACGCACCTGCAGTGGCCAGGTTTTTGGTGTCAGCGCGTGCCAGAGACACAGTCATCTGGGTGTCTTTTGTTAGAGTACCCCTTTTTGGCCAGTTTTCAAGGAAACCCACAAGGGAAATCACCATTTCGGGGGACCCCCAAAAAGACACCCATTTGAGTGTGCTGTCATCTTTTGGAGAGTTTTACGAGGCACACTAACATGGCCAATGGTTGTGGCTCTGTCAGGCATCCATATAATATGATTGGCAAACACCTATCGGAATTCCCGACCATCCCCGTCCATCCAGGGCTGATCCGAACAAGGAGCAAGCTCAAGGGCAACAAGTCCTCCACGGAAAACACCGACAGAAAACGAAACATATTCACTTGGGTCCCGTGTTATGCTTCTTCCCACGGTTCCAACGAATCATGTCGATTCTGCCCGCGTCTCCTTTTTTTCTCCTGAGGCCCCTACGCCCCTCTTCAGGGCCGTGGCCACATCGTCCCAGCGCCAGTAGAGGGTAATGCCTCCGTGCGCCGTCTTCTCGGTGGTCACAAATTCGGAGAACTCCTTGGGAACGACTTCACCGATTGGGAGGATCAAACCTAGGTCCTCCAGCAGAGGGGTTAGAATAAGGGTACTTGTTTTTTTTTTTTTTTTCTTCTACGTAGTCTATTTTAGTAGGGGAACCCTCCCAACCAAAAAAGGGTAAGAGGGCACTACTGGGGGTCCTAGAAACAAATCCATCCATTTGCTGATAAGTCCCCTGGAAAAAATAATGAGACACATGTCCAGGAGGGATGGGTTCCCTTTAAAACCAACAAGGGAAATGTGTAAAAAAGACAAACATCTTAAGCAAATGGAAGAATCTTAGCCGGAACCATGGGGTGTGTCCTAGCTCGCTTTGGACATGTGGACTACCTATCACAAACCGTGGCAATCCCAATTTTCCACAATGGCTGCACCCTCAACGGAGCGGTCCTTTGAGAAAGCCAAAAGAACTTGGAGCAGTCTTTTGCGACAGCCATGCAAAAGAAGCCAAACATTCATTCCGCCCTCCTTGAGAAAACGCACAGGGACTGCGGAAGAGAATGGATGAAGAACCCCTAAGCCGGCGGACATTCCGCATCTTCCCTACTTGCCCCAACATATGCCCTTACCAATGGACCAGTCATTGTGCTTCCCACTCAAATATTCCAGGGGAAACTCGACTTAAGCTGCGGGGTTGAAAAAATGTTGCCCTTGGCAACCTCAGGCGGCACACGGCGATATTCTGGGGACTGCCAAGGTCACAGCCCATGTGGACCGAACATGTGACGTGTTTGTTGTGTGCCAGTGTGCTTCAGGGTCGCAAGAATGGACACAGGGCACAGGCGGCTCAAACAATGCTCTTGGCCGCGTCAATCAAGCCTGCAACTTCTTCTTCTTCTTTTTTCAGGCACGAGCGGTGAAAGCAACGCGCCAAATCAAAGTGTTCTCAACTTGGTGCCTCGCTTGAGACATTCGGTTCCCGGTAAACCACAAACAAAAACCAGTCTTAAGCAGGTGAATCTTAAGCAGTGCGACATCGCTGCCCGTTCCACTCACTGCTTCCGAGCTGCCGGGAGGCCGCAGTGCATGAAGACATCCAGGCCTGAGGATGTGACACGCCAATGTCTGGGTGTGGCAATCAAAATGAAGCAGGGGCAAACCGCGGGTTTTGGTCCATGTGTCCACTTACCGATCGGGCAACCCATTTTGGAATTTCGTTTTTTTTGAGCCACGGCCATTTCAAGTCAGCCTATCAAAGGACATGCGAGTCACAATCAACTTCCACCAAATGGTTGACCCATGCACGGAAATACAAAGGCAGCCGCAACTATGTACGGCTGGGATTGTCCCTTACTAACCTTTAATTATCTACCCGGGTTTTGATTGTGGCTCATGTGTAATTCGTTGTGAATCAATTTTGATTTGCCCGGCCCATGGGAAGAAACGGTCACGCCGAGTCACACTCATGGGAATGAGGTGGAAGGACTTACATTCGTCCGGGCAAAGAGTCCAGCGGCTTCACTTGCGCGATCCATGTCTGCAACAAACCAGAGCCTTCCCTTGCCCCTTGCGGCCCTCCCCCAGTTTCCCATTTCTTTTCGAGGGCTGTACTCATTCAGCCCATTGGCTGCTCCAACAGGCCCCAATCTAGCCTTGAAAATCAAAGCTTAGCTCATCAACATTCAAATGAATCAGAGCTCAACCAAAGAAAAGAAGAAAAACAAACAAAGGAAAACACAAAGCTCAGCATTCAGAGCTACGCACTATGCGGCTGTGACAACATTAGGGATGCTTCTCATTCATCGGTGTCATACGACTGACTTGAAATGAGAAAGGGCCCACATCCACGTGGATGTCTACGAGGAGCCATGGGGGACCAAAACCAAAGGCAAACATTGAACAAATGTAATTGTACCCGTGAATCGACACCTAACTTTCTGTGCAGCTCGATTTGGCAGGCTGAATATAGCCATAGCATCCAAACCGAAAAGCAATGAACCATGTCCATGGCTTGATCAGCAGCACAGTCAGTGAAGAGCTATTGGCTTGAGAACAACTTGTTTAACATGACCTTCCTCACCTGGGAGCCTTTCATTTCTTGGGGACTCGACATTTTGACAAGCAGCCGAGGCTCCCTAACTCCGAATAATTCCCCAGACCCCAGGAGCTCTATGTCTCCGGCAAACAAAGGTGCCATTTCCGGGCTTGCTGGAAATATTCACCTGGAGTAACGGAACTTCATGATGACAATTCTCAGCGGGGTACAGAATTACCGACATTAACTTTCCTTAGTTTAAGCCTTTCAGTCCTCCCCAGTCGAATGGTTTAGCCCCTTCTGGCTTCACCCGACCCGAAAAAATTGCGCCTGTCTCGAGGATGTCCACTTGCACGTGGTGCGTGCGATAGGCTGAGGCAAGGCCTGCGAAGCAGAAACCCGCGCCCGGCGCCCGGCCGGTCGGCGCTTGGCCCCGACTTCGGGAAACCAACAGGAAACCCTTGCCGTCCATCTGAGAAGCCCCTGGTTGAAAAATGAGCAAATATGTCCAGCAGTAGCTTCCCTTCAAGATCAACAGGGGGAAAATGGGTATGGCTCTTACTAAAATGGAACCCTGGTAAGTGGAAATGTTGAGCCACAGACAAATCAACAATCTTCTTCAGCCAATGGAAGTTGCCCATGTTCTCACTTCCGATGGAGTGGATCGGCCAAAAGTGACCGAACTTGTGAAGCAAATTAACATGGTCACCCAAAAAGTCCAGGAACTCGGGCGGTCAGTTTTAGGGGACTAGCTCTAGAGACACCCTTTCGGGCCCGGGTTTTTTGCAGGGTGTGAGTAGTGTACTGGGTCCCCCGGACCGTTTGGCGCATGAGATAAGCTCACGCCCTCCCCACGACTTTTTACATGGAACGGGTCCACAGGGGGTCCTGTTAGGAAAATGGTCCAAACCAGAACCGATTCCCCGAACGTCGAACGGCTTCATGTGAATTGGTGGGAGGGTTCCCTTGCGGTTCGGAACGACACAGTTGACGCGAAACGGATGGTGCATCTCCCAGGAGCATGGGAGAACTTGAACATGTTTATTCCCTGTGGATCCCTGACAAGAAATACGCAAGTAATGGCATTTGCTTACTCAAGTTCATTTGTGGGCCGAATTAATTTCCTTTTACCTGGGATTTTGTTGAATAACCCTCCAGTGCCGGTTTGCAACTTGAGTGTAGCTCGATAAGCTCCCGGCTTGCTACATGGCAAACACGGACTATTGCCATGTGCAGTTGCCTTGAAATCTTCAAAGCTTGTCTGGATGCTGAAGGAAGATAATACAGTACATATCCATCCGCTTCTAGTTCCCTGAAAAAGGTATCAACACACACACACACACATGGGCGTGTCTTTTTTGAGGGTACCATGCGTTTCCGGTTTAAACGGAAACCAAAAGGAACACCACCATGTTCCCTGTTTTGTTTGGGGGCTCACTAAAACAGACACATCCATATGGGCTATCTAGCAGGCAGTTGTGGTGACCCAACACGACACGCACAAAAACCCAGCCTGGGTAGGAGGGAGAATCGATGTGCTCGATCTCAAAGTGGTAGGTGTCCGTGCCTCGCGATGATGTTGACCCCCTATTAATCAACCAACCAGTTTATTCATAGGGGGGTGTCCCTGGATTTAGTGGAAGGACTCATCACTTTTGAAGGGGACACCCCCCCTTTATATATATAAATAAACAGGGGGTTACTTAATCCGGGGTCAACATTAATCCTTCATTGGTGGTTTGGATTGGTGGCTTGGGATTTGAACCCATGGTGCCCCTTGATTCACCAAATGGGGAAGGTGGCCCCGAACGTCGCAACCACCAGTTTGGGGGAAGCTGTTACCATGGCTCATTGGAATTTCTAAGGGCCAGAGGTAAAAATCACGAAACCAGAGCCCAAGCCCCAAATTTGCCAAGGATGCGGGGCGCGGATGGGTTGCTTATCCTAGAAGACACTCTACCTTCAGGCAGCAAATGGAACTAGGATTTCCATTTGGCCTGATGCCAATACCAAACCCCTAATCCAGGCCCCGGCCGCATGCATGAAACAACATATGGCCATGGGATCCCATTTTGGGGGTGGATGAACATCGATCTGCCACCTGTTTTGATGTTCACCAGGGGTTGGTGTTGACCCACAGCCACATAAAAGATCCTTCTCCCGCTGGCCTCCTGTGAGGCAAATGAGCAATTGTCGTTGTTGTTTTTTTCCTTTTTTTTCTGGGGTCCAACATAGGCGAACCCCAAAAAAATGGTCAAGCCCTGGTCAATGGAAACATGGACATTTCAACCTGCGGTCCGATTCCTGGTGGCTTAGTTTTGAGCCACACCCATTTATATAGCGCCCAGCGCCCCACTGCTCTAAGACCGGCGCGGTACTTCATCACATCGTCTCGGCGAAGGTCCTGGCATGGTCGGCTTAGCCGCAAGCAATGCCAGAGCGGAATAAATGAAAAAACATAAACATAAAACAAGCAGCCACTAAGCATCCGTGAACACTCAAAACCGGGCTTTGCAGGTTCCGTGTTCGGTGATATCGGGAGATTATTGGGAGTAGGGGGTTCAGAGTTCCTCAAACCTTGGCGGGTCTGAAGATAAGCTGCTAGATAGCTCAACAAAGAAAACCAGCAAGGAGCCCCAAACTTGGCGGCTGTTGACCCCTAGCAATCAAGCCAAAGCACCCCTGGAGTACCGCCAAAGGGGCAGCCCGGGATTGGCGCCTAACATTCGACCTGGGTACCCTTTTGCAGTATCCTTGATGGTATCCTGTGGTTACAAGAGAATTCAAGAGGATGTGGGCCGCGATATTTTGATACATGTGCACCCAGGAGTTGATTGTGGCTCAAGTGGAACCAAACAAGAACTGAAGGCTGTTGCCACATATGTCGCTGTTTGCCATGAATGACTAAGTACTTACAGTACTTGCATAAGCACTCTGCAAAGATGATGCTCAACTGGTTCAATTAAACCCGTGTGCCTCGTAAAGACTCTTATATTGTGCCACACTGGTCCAACACTCTGACACCTTGCAACAACCCCTGGAGAGATGTCACTCAACACCTGCTCTCCAATGTCCGCCACAAACTGGCGACAACAACGGCTCCTCCATGGATACGCCCAGCTCCTCATGAATCGCCCGGTGGACGGTGCTCACGATGCCTCCGGAATCCCGAGGCTCCTGCGGTTTGCAAAGCGCAAGTCGACCTTTCTGGAGCCGAGTCTCCTGCTCCTCCTTTTTCTCCTTCACGTTCTCTGACCAAGCGCAGCCAGTAACCACATCCACTTCAATGACACAAATTGTAATTATGTATGTATGTATGTGTATATATATATATATATGTATGTACACATTTCTGTACGGGCATTTCTCAAAATAGGGGGTAAAATGACTTGCTTCATTTGGTTTCTCTTTGAAACCACTCACAAAGACGTAAAGCCCCATATGTTCCTTCATCTAAACAATACCAGTAATGTTCGGCAGAGCCGGGAGGAGGCAGTTTGGAGCGCGCGTCTTCTCCCCTTGTCTCCCTGTCTTCATGGTTCTTCCCTTCTCTTTGTCTTTCTCTTTCGCGTCTTTTTCTCTTCATCTTTCTGTTTTCTCCTTTATGTCTTCTCTGTTCTCCTTGATCTTTCTCTGTCCTCATTCCTCTTTCCTATTTGATCTTTATATTTTATCTTCCTCTTTCTCTGTCTCTTCTCTTCTTCTCCCTCTTCCTGATTCTCTTTCTCTCTTGATTTCCGTTCTCTTTCTCGTTCTCTTCATCTTCTTCTTCCGCTGTCTCAGAGAGTTCGACTCTGTTTCCTTGTCTTTCCTATTTATCCTGCTTAAACCAACAAAACACAAGTTGAAACATTCCCAATAATGCCCACCCCCTGCACGTTTAAAAGCAACAAACAACGAGTTCTTGAGGGTCGACCCACCCAAAGAGCGCTCCGCCCCCGACTCCGACTCGACGTCGCGACCCAGGTGGTTTGCGCACATGAAGAGCCGAATGCATGCACAGGGCCAACGTGTTCTGCCTCTTGGCATTCCCCAGCTCGTGCTTTTCCAGCTTGTTCACATAATGTCATGCTTTGTCATATCTGTGTGTGTGTGTTTACGCGTGAGCATGCGAATCCTTAGAGAAAGAGAGAGACATCAACTAGTTTCAGTACTACGGAAGTTCTTGCTAAACGTCCTCTGATGATATGCTCATGGTCATACAACAAAGTTCAACAATCATCGCTTCAAGAGCAAGCGACATTTAGGGACATTGTTTTAGAAGGCACATCCCTCACTTGTTTTCCAAATCCTGATTTGGGTATGGGTTCAATTAAGCCACCAGGAATCGGACCGCAGGTTGAAATGTCCATGTTTCCATTGACCAGGGCTTGACCCATTTTGGGTCTCGTTTTGAGCCACAGCCATTTGGACCGCACGAAAATCAATGCTTCACGCGGCTCCTTCTTTTCCGCCAGGAGCATGTTTCGCATCCTGACCCGGCCATCCGGGAACTTCTGCTTCTCCTTACTGGCTCTGCCGAGCGCGGGGAACGAAGTTGCTTTCGGTGAGTGGCGTCACTTGGGTGTGGGTCAAAAATAGGCTAACCACAAAATGGGTTGCCCTGGTAGATGGAACCAAAAACTAAAACCTGCCGGTGGTTTGATTTTGACCCGTACCCATTTGCCATTGGCAGAAACTACCATGGCACAGGGCCAACAGGTGGAGTTTTCCTGCCAGATTGGCCCGAAGAATGTCGCATGCTACGGGACAAATGTAGCCCATGTGGCAAGCAAGGCAACAACCTTCTGGCCCAACCCAGGATTGGGGTCAGTGCGGGTTCAACCAAAACATGTTTCTATTGGGCTGCTCTTCTCGTCACCTGACAAAACATCAAAAGGCAGCATGTTCGAAGCAACACAGTTCCCCGCCACAGATCTTCCGTTGCCCAAAAAGGGTCAAACAGCGAGCTAGGAAGCCTCTCAAAGACTTCTCCTCTTTTCACCAATCATGGAAGTGGACAGAGTTTAAGAATACAGTCGTCTTAATATCACTGCAAGTGACACACCTCAAGTCTACGTGCGTCGGAAGAATCATGCCCTAGCCTGGCCAAAACAGAGCAACCAAAAGTGCGAACCATCTGTGAAGCCCCTATATATTTGTTTTTCCGACACCTTATCGCGCATGTAATATGATGCAAGCAGCAAACATGTCATACTTTTTGTTCTCGGGTTGCTACAAGTTTCAGCACAGGAGCGACAAAAGCCAGCGCCCAAACAACCGAACGGGCGTGAGAAGGGAGGGGGTTAAACGCAAAAGGCGACAGGGGAGCTAATTCCGGGGAAGTAAGATGGATCTCCTGCACCAGCACCTTGCCACGAAAGCGCAGGCGGATGAAAATCGGCTCCACCTAGGCGATCTCATCTCGTGGAACTGCTTCTGGGTGAGATCCAACCGGTTCCAATTAGACGCTTACGGACGGGGTCAAAGGTCCGCCAGTTGCGGGGTATACTGGAGAATGCCTTCACTTGTGCTGGTCAAAATCTCTCAAGTTCAGGCTTAGCAACGAGCCTCACGAACCTTGAGGGAAAGCTGTGGCCGGAAAGGGGGCCCTTGTGGTGCGTCTGCTTGGTTACTTCATCTTCCTTTAACAAACCATCCAAAATCGGGTCCCCCGTTCCAAGCGACTCAGTGCTGCAGAAACGATCTTAACATCTTCTGACAAGCGGTATGGACACTGGACTCAGCCCTTCCGGCACAAATGAAACAACATATAGGTGTGACTGTGACATTGAGGGTCCAGAGACAAACACAACGACGATCCATTCCGTTTTGGCGTCCTCAAGGGGAAATCAATCATGAGCTATTTAGCACCCATGCCTGTCATGTGATTCGTCAAGTGGCTTACTTGTGGGAGAATCACATGCGAAGCATGCGACTGAAAGTGTCTAGGACATCCCGTTCTTGTCCTCTGGGGATGTTCAATGTCTATGCTCGGTTTCCTACCACTTTCCCAGCTGCCGACGGTCCCCCTTCCACAAACGATTTTCAGATGGAACAACAAGTCGAACAGTAAGAGAACTCGGAAAAGGGGTAAACCTGGCTCCGGATCTGTCAAACGCAGGTTGCCCTTGAAGCAAAAAGCTGCCTGAGAGTTCAGCGAAACTCAGGACGGAGGAGACGCTGACCCAAAATGGAGGGAGTTCCCCGGGCGGGAAATCCCCAGCTTTGCCAGCGCAGCAGCGGGAATCTGGCTTCGAACATGTTTACTTTTCTCAAAGGGAAGATTTGAGCCCGAGCCGAAGGATGCCAGTTACCACTATAGGCAACCAAACCTGTTCCTCTGAAAGGGTGGCTCTTTTGGTTACCAACACAGGTCAATGGATACACAGCCGCCGCCCCCCCCCCCCAAGCGCCCCCAAACCGCCCGGCCATTCATTCGAGGCGCCACTCTCAGCAGCCTCGACCGCCGCGACGTGCCGGGGCTGGCGGGCGCCGTTTCCTGCCGATCCGAGCCGATCGGAGCCGATCGGAGCCCTTTCGCCATGGAACCGGCGTGAGGCAGCTTGGAGCGGCCGAGGCTCAGTTGCTAATGCTAAGTAGTATGTTCAATAGCTAAATGGTAATGATCCCAATGCTAGGTTCAAGGTGTTTTTTTGCTTTAAATAATTATCATTGAATAAACAAGCAAGAGGGATATCATCTGCAAATGAAAGATCTTGAAGTCTCGTGTAGTTAAGAGAATGCTCGAAACGAGGGTCACGATTCAGGGCAACCCCCACTCGGAACAATGGACGACCACGCGAGTGTTGGTTATATATATATAAGAATAAACACAAATCAGCATGTGCTCCTGTGTTCCAGGAAGGGTGATGTGTCCAATGTAAAGGTTAAGACATCTGCAACTCCAAACCCTTGCGCGCCTCGGAGTTCTCCAGGTAGCATGTTCCTTCCTGAAGCTCCTTGCGCGTGAAACACTCCGCTTGTGTCTAGCACCAAAAACCACGCGGCGCCCTTCTCGACAGAGTGGGCTGCGCGGGGTGCAGCTTAAGCCCCTTGGGCTCTCCACGAGAACCGTCACTATGAATTTGGGGCATGGGAGAGACAACAAGGAAACAGACCCAACAAAAAGGAAGCCCAAAGAAGGCCAAAGGCCAGCCCCCCCCCAAAAAAAAAGAAAATGGTCCAAACAGAAAAACAGAGAAGGAAGCAGCGAAGCAGTTTCTCCTGGTAGAGCCAGGACAGTGGCTTGGCATTGCCCTGACCAAAGCGGCTGGTCTTCACAGAGCAGGACTCCAGAAAGTCCTCGCGAATCCACTGGACGCGAGGTTGTGAGGACTGGGCCTTCCTGCTAGGTCCTCCAGTAGAGAGGTTAGGGTCTGGGGGAACCAACTTTTTTCTGTCTATTTTAGTAGGGGAACCCTCCCAACCAAAAAAGGGGTGAGACAGGGCACTACTGGGGGACCTAGCCAGGCTTCCCTCAAAATATCGGTTGGAATTGGACCGCACCCCAAAATGGAGTCTGGCTTCCCTTTGCTTTCCCTTTGAAACCAAGCCAAAAGGCTACCTGCGGGGTGGTAACATTCTCTTAGAATTGGACCAGGGACCCAAAAAAGGAGTCGGCTCTCGTGGCTATGAAACCATCCCAAAAGTAGCTACCCTCGCAAAACTGGTTGGGAATTGGAACAGACCTTCCTTTTTGTCGGGAATTCGATGGGAATTGGTCGGGACTTGGCTGGTTGGAAATTAATTGGACCGACCCAAAATCGAGTCCGACTTTCCTGATCTCCCAATTTGAAACCATCCCAAAACCCTCAAAACGACACCGTCCCGCATGTCCATTCGGCAAAAAGGTGGTGTGAAGCGAAAAATTGGAGGATTCAATATGTGGACGTCATTTACTTGGGGATTTGTGGCCTGGCAACCATTGAGGGGGTTTCCAACACTGATGCAAAAAAACAACCAAACACCAAAGCAAACTTAACACCAGGGGGTTCTCCGAATTCGAACACCAAGAAAAGCGGCCCAAGACTCGGAAGCCATGACACTGCAAGGCCCTAAGACCCTCTTTCTGGTCGCGTGGAGTCTGGAGAGTGGATTCGGCTTCGTCGTGGCCCAAAGAAGCTCAAGTTTGACTGAAGCTTGGTCCTGAGGAACATCTAAGTTGCAAACGAGCCGCCGCAACCAAGATGTCCTCTGAACGGACCTATGTCCAACAATGTAGGCATATGTGAGTTGCTCAGGCGAGTGTCACCGACCGGCGAATCCCCCATGTGTTGGGGTAGTTTGGATGTTTGGATTCAACCACCCCCAGGCCGAAAGGGGCCCCTTTCGGCTTTCGCGGTGGTTTTTGCACTGATTCAAGCCTCTTCGGTCCTGAAGGGCCTTCTCAGAGGCCAGGTAGAAGGGCATCGAGCTAGCCTACCATCGACAGGACACAGGGCAGTCGTATGTTTCCCTTCAGCACCCGAGGGAGCGTTTTTTTAAGCCAAACGGCACTGGCACCGCAGGCAAAGACGCCTAATTTGGCCTTTACATGAAAGGGGAATGATAGAAATTCTGATTGACATGGAGAGCAGGGACAACCATGGAGAGAGGGAATATGAAACCCGCCACTTGCGCTTCCATGTCTAGGTCCCCCAGTAGTGCCCTTTTACATTTTTTGGGGGGGAGGGTTCCCCTACTAAAATAGACTACAGAAAAAAGGTACCCTTATTCTAACCTCTCCACTGGAGGACCTAGTTTCCCTTGTGGGTTTTAAAGGGAATCTACCACTGCTGGAATAGTGTTTAAATGTTTTTTCCAGGCGGCGAAAGCGCGGTCATGGAAACTCCTCTGAAATCTAGAAATGGGGATTAGCCTTCGGACGGGAAGCCAGCCGAGAACGTGTTGGGGTCTCCCACTTGAGAGGCCGGGCGCGCCAACAGATGTCGATTCCCAATAGCCAAGGAAGCCAACCTCAAGTTACCCCTGCTGGCGAGACATGGTTTGTTGGCGATGCAGTGGGTCTGTTGAAGCGCGTGGCAAGATTGCACGAGACTACCTGAACACTTTATTCACGCAAAGGTTGCGGAGGTGCTGGTTGTGATCTTATTCATGCCAATGTGCTGGTTGACAAGGCAACTTGAGCCTAAAACCCTAAAACCCTAAAACCCTAAAACCCTAAAACCCTAAAAAACTGAAAACCCTCAAACCTAAACCCTGGATTATGAGTTGCTTTTCCGTGCCTCCACCCTGGGTCCAAGCCTTGTATCCTTTCAGTTCCATTCCGTAGGTTCCATCGGCACGGAATGAGTGGATATCACCGAAGCAAATGACGAATGGGAGCCAGGACTCAAATGGCACTGACCCCAAGATGCCGGTGGCTGACAGCTATGTTCAGCCGGGAGGAACAAGTCCCTTAGCCTCACCCCAGGATTTTCCCCGCCCAAGGCAGGCCTCTGATCTAGGCTTTAGCTCTGGTGCAGGGGACGGCATTGCAAATCCTGAGCAATCGGTCGCATCCAAGATGGCACCTGAAAGTCGTGAAGGACCACTTTTGTGTCATATTTCAGAGTCCCTTCGCTGGGATCCATGTTAGTCTGGTCCTCCATTTTTTTCTGTAGTCTATTTTAGTAGGGGAACCCTCCCTGAAAAAAGGGTAAAAGGGCACTACTAGGGGACCTAGTAGTGGACAGGGCAAGCCATGGGTGATTTGGGGCCAGTGGCTTTGGAACATGATGAAATGGTCACGGGAACGACCTCCCTTGTCAAAGGATTGGCCCAGTCTGGCAAAACCACACTGGCGTGAGCTGTGAGTAATGCGCGTGTAACCATAAATATCCAAGAATATGCACATAATTTGGGCTGGTCTTCTTTGATGGCACCTTTTGTGTGGTTCTTCAAGGGAACAAAAGACACAGAGCCACAACCAAGGCAGCCCAAACCAATGATCAACCTGGCTTCAGAATGCTTGGAATCCTACACAAGGGAGAGTAAAACGTGATGGCCTGTATGGATGAGGCCTCTCCATGTGGAGTTTGATCAACCCGCAGTCACTCTGGGTCTACTGCATTGGACCGCTCAACTCAATGCTGGGCCCCCAGCAATTCGGAAATCGGTCGCGCGCAGCGACAAACCTGAGCCGCAATGCGTCCCCGTGGCCGCCCCCAACAGCCTTTCAAGCCTTGGAGCAAGACACCAAATTTGAGGCCTAGCGCGAAGCCGCGCAACCAGAAAAGGCCGAAGCCCTTTATTCCCCTCACAGGGCACGTAAGAAAACGGCCAGGCCTGCCGCTGTCAAAGGTGCGAAAGTTGGGCTAGCGACAACTTTGGCTTCCTGCAAAGGGGCTAAGGGTAGTGGCCCGTGCTGCAAGCGAACAAAGAATTCTAGCACTGCCGAACGAGGCACGCAGTCCTTTTTGTCAGGACTGCCTTCTGTTGCAGATCGAAAAAACACTTGATCCTATCATCTATCTTCATGTTCTCGGGTGTTCTTGGCAGGTGTCAAACAAAGTTCACGCTGTTTGCGAAGCGGCCAAGCGCCGCGTGAGCCAAGATAGTCCGGTTGCCGAAAGTTGGACTCCCATGGCACAAGAAATCCTTTGTAGCTTAATTTGGCCAGAAAGAGATGGCACTGGTTCTGCTTTTTGTGCGCCCCATGTACCAGGGCCATCTAATTGTCCAAAAGCCCAGTGGGCAGAACACCTGCGAGCCCCCGCCAGTTTAATTACTCAGACTGGCCCCCCACTTCAGGACGTGCAACCGAGTCGCGGGTCGTGCAGGACTTGCGCAGCAAATTCGAGGCGGAAAGGAAACTGGTGATGGCTGCGGTGCGGCCGATCGAATATCATCAACCCAGTCTCAAATTTGCCGGGCAATGGCTTTAGAAAACGAATGTCTGGACATCCTATCATGTACACTTGAGCATCCAGGACGCAACTAGCAGCCACTCTGCAAAGCTGGGTGTGTCTTCTATGGGGAGAAAGGATTCAGCAGCTAACAGCCACTCTGCAAAGACGGGTGTGTCTTATAAGTATTCCCTACTAAGCAAGGTTCCAGGCATATCAAGGCATTGACATCATGCCCAGTGAAGCATGGGTAGTTGAAAAGAGAAGGGGTTTTAAGATACGCGCATCTTCTTTTCACTTCCGAATGGATTGTGGTATGCGGTCGGCGGGTTTCCATGCGGCACATTGCAGCGGAACTTTGGCTTCGCACCGAGCAAGCCAAAGAACACGAGGAATGTCGAGACCATTCTATTCACCATCATCATCCTCAATGTTTCTTCGCCTCTGGCAGCCCATTCCATTCACTGCTAACGGGAATTTCCCGTTAACAACCATACAATTTAACATCTGGAACTATACAATACAAGCCCTGGTGTGGTAGTAAAGAGCGTTGCTTAAAACGAGGAGAACCAAAAAAACAACTAAAAGGACACGCCAACAACTGTGAAGGGAGCAACCGCCCACTGGCATCCTCCAGTGTCAAGTGGCACGGTGCTAAATTGTCGGACCGAGAGTTGCACCTTTGCTTCACCAGTCAACTGCAACAGGGAAAAACCGAGAATGGTTCCAATGCATCTAGAAATGTGTTGCTGGCGGATATCTTTGCAATCACTTGACACCTGGAAATACCCAAAGCCGCATTCATCATATTTTAGGGTGAGCGAATGGTGCAAAGAAATGTGCAATCCTCGTCCAGCAAGATGTCGCAATTTTGTGGCGCTCAGCATTGACCGCCGCCCATGGAATGTTCACGATACCTCACGCTACCAATCTGCCTAGACTGCTACACAAAACACACAAAAATACACACCACATTCTAAGAGATGCCAGCGAGATGCCCTTGTTGCTTTGGTCTGTCCGTTGCAGCCCAATCTGGCTTGCCACAGCAAAGAACCCCGCATTGTGGCAGCAAAATTGAAGAAGCGTCGACATACAGCGGAGATCCCAAAAGCTCTTGCTGCATGATCCTCGCAAGGATAAAGGGTGAGACCGATTTCGCACAAACTTGCACAACAATCCAACCAGGGAGCAATGCACCGAAAAAACGAGCAGAGCTAAGCAAGCTTAGACCCCCAAAGCTCCAACTTTTCAGACCCCAAGGATTGTTGATTTTCTGTCCCGATTGGCAAAGGCAAACTTTGGGACCAATCGAATCAACGGATTTCCCTCGCCCCGTTGGCCCCGGGCTCATTGCACGGCTCCGAGGCATGCAAGGAGCGCTCCTGTCAAACTCACCGACCGCTGGTGAGGTGAGGGAGGACAAAATGGCTGTGGTGGTCAAAACCGTTTTGGGATCCCATTTTGGTTGGGATTGGTGAATTCACCGCCGATTTTAGAACCTATTCTAGTGGGGATTGGGATGTTCACTGGGGGCTAACCGGGCTTTCGACCCATGGCCAAATGACGCCAGCGAGTCGTGGGCTTTACCTGACCAAAACAGATCCAGGGATTTGTTCGTAGTTGAGGCACGCAAAAAGAGCAGCCAGTGGATGCAAGGGAAGCATTGTAGCGAAGGAAGCGAGCTCAAGTTGTGCTCCAAAAAGACGCCACCCAACTTCTTGCTGCGACATCTTGGTTGACGTTGGAAGGGGAGCAAACACTTTCTTTTGTTAGCAGTTAAGTGGTTGGATTTCAACCACTAAACCACAATAAGCCAAAATGGTTCAAATGTTTCCCAAGAACAACCATGAGGTAACCCTTTGGTGGCTTGGATTGCTGGGGATTGGAACCCCAGTACCTTTCGACACCAAAAGGGGAAGGTACCTCCCATCCAAACCACCAAGCGAACAAGACACCATCTTCTGATTGAGGCCTTGGCGGCCTGCGTAGTGGCCTTCCACGGTGCCTTTTTGGCACACACACCCCGTCAGCTACTTTTCTTTACAACCCGGTATGAAAATGGTCGTAATCCCAGATCTATGTAAAGAATTAATTAAGAAGGCGGATATCCGCAGCTATGTATGGTTGGGATTGGCCCTTACTAACCTTCATCTACCCGGGTTTTGAGCACGTGGCTCACCTGGGTTCATTGTGCTCACTTCCCACAGCCACTTGGCATTTGAGGCATTCAAACTTGAGGAGCGGGTGAACGAAAGCTAGCAGTTGTTGCACGAGATGGGTCGGTGACAGAGTGGATTCATAGGTAGCTTGTGTACAACGAGAGGCCCGGCAAGATTCGTAGGATTCGACACGCAAACGCACATGGTGGCGTGGCAAACCTTGAAAAATTAAAGCAACGAGAGGCGTCAGAAGCTGTCTTAAAGCAATTCTGGGTTCTGCATGCAGCGTGTGCAAAGATTCTTGCGAGGTGGTTTACCGAGAAGACTGAGGTCTCAAATGAACAAGCTGAATCGGTGGAACATGTAAAAGTTCGTAGCACCAAGTCCAAAACGGGCAAACCGAGACTGCTGAACACTGAGCCACTGCCCGGGGGGGGGGATGGACCAGGGAGGAATCGAGCCTGAGACCCGGGAAGGGGGGGAGGGGGGGGGGGGGTCTAAATAATTGATGTTTTTCAATCTTTTCGGCTCAAATAATTGAAAAAATCAATCTTTCGGCATTTGAGCCCCTTACCTTGCTTACGCAAGGAGAAACTTCAGCTAGCTAAAGCTAGCTTTCGTGACTAGAAGCTGGACAGCCAAATGCAGCTACGTACGCGTATTATGCGCTTCAGAGGTCTGTTGCATGGCATAGGATTTGTCAGGATTTGGAACTTGTTGGAATCCTCCAAAAGCAAGAATTCAGGTTGCTTCCCAAAATGTGGAGGTGAAATACCGCGCACAGGAGATTGGCGATAGTTCCTGTGAGTCAGGGCAAGCAGGATGAATCTAGGAATCTCACCAGGCAAAAAACATGAAACCGGTGGGCAAGGGATGGATTGAAGGGGTTTCGATGAGGATAGCAAATCCCTATATGGTCATGGGTCAAAATCCCCCCCAGTGAACATCCCAATCCCCGCTAAAATAGACTAAAATAGGTGGTGCACCTACCTCAAAATGGTAGCATTGGTTTTGACCCACAGCCATATATGTACTACCCAGCCGCTGTGCGTGGCAAGAATGATTGGTCGAGGTTAGCGAGTAAAGAGTCCCTGCAACAGCAAAAATGGACCCCATTGCGTCATCTTGCATGGGTGAGGAGCGATCTGATGCGAAATCGTTGTTGGCCAAAGCGAATTGCCGTGGTGCGTTTGCTTTGATTGTGTCAAGGTGGGTTCCCTGTTAAAGCATCCCCAGACCAGCCAATCAACTCTTCCACCTCTTCCAAAACAAAGCCGGTGCCGGGATAGTGCCAGTCACCCAAGCAAGCAACCAAGCAACCAAGCAACCAAGCAGCCAGGCAACCAGGCAACCAAGCAACCCACCAACCCACCTACCCTCGTAAAGGCCCGAAGCTACGAGCCAAAATGATTGTGTGGGTGTCTGCGTTGTTTGATCGGACCAAAATCGGGCAGCTCCTGCCGCGGATGGGCGCACTCTGTGGCCGAACCTCCGGTCAGCAAAACCTCTGGCCTCCTCAATGATTACTTATGCTACGCGGGATGTGTGTCAATTAGGGGACTCCATCAGAATTATGTTGTTGTACTTTTTGTGTTGTTTTACAAAGGGGAGACATCCAAACATGAGCCTCCGTTGAAGCTTCCGCTGAAGACCCTTTTCAGAACACCCTCCCCAGAAAGACAGAACTACGACAACAATCTCACTTGCCCAAAGGAGTTGGAAACAAAAGGTTAACCTTTTGGTACCTCCACTAAAAACGGTCCAACATGGGAGTGCCCAAAGGTCAAAAGGTCGGCTTTGGGCAACTGAGCAATGCAATACAACGATCACCCCAATCGAATGAATTCCACGAGTGCGGTTTGGCTGAACTGTTACAAAGCCAGTCCAAATCCTGCTTGGATCTATGAAGACCAGCAGAAAGCGGCTGTCCTTTGGTCTAACTCCTTGGTTCTTCGAGATTCGCATGGTTTTTTAGGCTAATCACATTGGTTCCTTTTGGGCCGGCCGACTCTAGAAAAGATGTTCACCTGCGATCCGTAGAGCCGTGGAGCCAGAAACCCCATCCAGACTCAACGAGAAGCCTCGCTTGCAAGTCACAAGGACTCTTTGTTCTATACCTGGTGAGCAAGAATACATTGACGATCCATTCTCAGGCTGTAGAGAACATACCTAAGATAGGAGTGCTGGCAACTGAGCTTGCAATGGTTTGAAGCATCCACTGGCAGTGTTACCCACACAATTTCAGCGTTCCAGGACGTTCCGGTGCCACGCCATCAAATGAATGCGTCTCTTGCCATGGTTCAGAACCCCTCGACAAAACTGTTCCTTTTGAAATTCCTTTCAAACAACAGCCCCAAACGAAAACTCAATCATTGAGGATACAAAGGTGATATTTCAAACCAGCTAGAGGAATCATCTTTGAAACTTGCCCGCTACCAGCTCGGCTGCGGCCGGATCCATGTTCGATCGAATTGCTCGTTTGGGAATTCCTTGGAGCCCAAGGCTTTACCCAATTATTCTAGGGGTTGACTCCCCATTCTTTTCACCCATTGTTTTCAAAAACCGGCTGTTTCCCCTGGGTTTTTGATGGTTTCCTGAAAAGAAGGATCCCTGGAAAGAATGGGGAAGGTACCCCTAGCAAGATGGGAAAAACAGGTTTCCCGATTCCCCCCCCTCGTTTTCTGGGGAAATCAAGCCGCACACCGCCTTTTTTCGAGGGTTTCTGCACTCCCCACCTATGTTTATCCAACAGCGAAACGGGGTTGCACCCTGCACCCTGACCTGTTTCACCACACGTCTTTGGAAATGGCTGAGCATCCA